CCAACGCCAAATACCTCATTGATCGTGTAGATATGAAGGTTTACAGCATTCCTGCAGGCAGTCTTGTGTGTAACCAGGAAAACCTATTTCTAGGACAGTTACCTAAGCATAGTGATCAGCTTTGTGAACAACGCTGCATTTAGTGGTAATTATGAAAGAAATCATTTCAATTTTCAGCACTATGTCAACTTTTGTGCCCTATATTGTGATGGTGAACAAATTCCTGCTAAATCCCTTCAGCCTGATTATGAACATAACCTTTTTGTGAGAGAATATATGCAATTGTTACAGACGTCTGGCAAATCTATTAAAGATTGTTCTGTGCTGATCAACCGTGAGTAGTTTAACAACGGTTATACATTATTATTGTTTTTATTTGAGTCCTGATCAAGGCTGCTCAGAGCACTATTCCCTGATCAAGAACAGAAACCTCAGACCAGAAATTAGATTTGCTATACCTCTCCCCAATACTGTCAACATGGTACTCTATGCAATCTTTGAAAATCTTACTGAAATAAGCCACACAAGGAATGGTTTGTTTGATTATATGTGAGAATGGACACCATACACATACTATGGATGCTTTCTGGAAATGCTCTCTTTCTAGGCGTATACCCCAGCAATTTGTTACCCAAGAGAAAAATCTCAGAGGCCTTTCAGGTTAATTGTAAATACCCATCCCCACACTCTTCCTGGTGAAAACTGGGTGGCACTGTACTTTCCAACTTACAGCTATGGTGAATTTTTTGACTCCTACAGAAGGGCTCCAGACAACTCTGACTTTCCTGTTGACATCGTGAGGTATTTAGAACTGCAGGCTAAGAAGTACACATACCAAACTCTTCAACTGCAGCACCCCCTGGCAATAACCTGTGGTTTATGTTGCTCGGTGTTCCTGGCATTTCCTGACATCTTTTTGCCCGCGCTTTTGGGATTTTCGGACTGCGCTGGCCTGTTTCAGAGAGGGGGTAGTCAGCTTGGTATGGTGCTGTATGAGATCAGGCAGCTGGCCTTGTTGCCGCTACCACGGTCCTTCGGACGCCCCCCTCCTCCGTCCCACTTGACTCGGCCTTTCCCTGTGGTGCGGCCTCTCCTCTGTTTGCCTCATGCCTACGGGGTCTTTTGTCATCTGGCTTCCCTGCTCACGGCTGCTGGACTTTGGACTGATCTCATTCGATGTGACTTTTTTTTTTTGGTTTACATATTCTGCATATTGTCATCGTTTGGCAGTTGACAGAATTGACAATAACAAAGCTTAATCACCAGGTCACATTTATTCTCAATGTTAATTTTTTTACAAAGTTACCTAACTCCACGGGTCCTCTTTGCAGGTTCTGGTGCCATTTTGACATCAAATAAATCATTAATTGGCTCTTCATTATAACCACGTTTATTATTCCCAACATCAGTCTCCATATTGTTATTAAAAGAGGTATAAACTTTAAACAGTTAAATCGCCACACCCCTCTGCAGAGAGCCTCTTTTATCAGTTCGTGAACAGCAGACTGCGCCAGGGACGGGCCCAAACATGCCTTAAACAAAGTTATCGCACGTGCTATCACAAACATCAGACACATGGTGATTTTCTTTGCAAATATAGTATTTTATTTTTTACATTTCTGTATTGTAAAATAATAACAGTCCAAAATCAAAGTCTTGCTCAAATTTCTTGCCTTACAACTGCAAACAGGGGCCTTACTTTGCTTTTATATTGCAGTTTACTTCCTACTCTGTGTAAAAAAGCTGTCAGTTTTGGGAAACTATAGTTTTTTTTATTTTTTTACATTGCTTTCTTACTTTGCATTGATATTGCTTTTTACTTCCTGTTCTGTGTAAAAAGCTGATACTTTTGGGAGACTGTCATTCTCATGCTGACAGCTACCCCCGTCAGAAAATGCTTCATCATTCATTTTGCTTCTGGCATTGGGAAGGCATTCTGGAAGGTTTAGGAGAATACATGTGCTCGGTCCGTCAATCATTTTCTTTCAGCCAATGGGAGGCGACTGTGAAGAAGAGCAACGTCATTGGCTGCTGCTGTCAAACTCCACTCTACAAATACAAACCAATGAGAAGGCCCTCTGGTGAATAATTGCTATGTCACAATTATTCAAACTGAAAGGAATTGTAGGTCAGGTAGGTCTGGCATGTTTGTTGTTACAGCACACCTGTGTGAAAGGCCATGTGTGTCACAGTGGGTAGGTGTGTGTTTTTGAACTGTACTACCTGGTTTGGCTCATAATAATGTTAAAGTACTTCCTGTAAAAAGGGTTTGAGGTTCAGGGAGGGATGGTGGATATGACGTTATAGTCCTCCAAGGTAAGGGGAGATGAGAGTGAAGGTAGAAATCATGGGGATGGTGGGGGGTGATGTCATAAAAGTGAAGGGGCTACACCAGGGGCAGGTTGCTCCCGGTTCGCACCGGTATGCCAGAAGGAGTTCATCAACTTTACCGTACCTTTTAGAACCCCTTCGTCTGATGGGACAGTACCGGAATGCTCTCTCCCTGCCCATCTGGTCGCCGCTCGCTCACTCCCCCTGCCTATCTGTACCAAGCTTGCCCAGCCCATCACTCACTGATTGGGTGGCTCACCAATCGTCCCACCTCTGAGAGGCAGTGGGGAGGGATTTCTCACACGCCTTCTTTCTCTGAATTGCCCAAATGTGTGAAAGAAGGAAGCTGCAGTCTCATTTGCCTTGGCTACGCTACCTCCTTTTGCTCTCTATGTGCCTCATTCACTCATTCGGGCAGCAGATAACGAAAGGAGATAGCGTAGCTGAGGCAAATGAGCCTGCAGCAGCCTGCAATCAAACTAGACTGGAGAGGGAGAGCATGAGCGAGCACTGAGGAGACTCCAGGAGGGAAGCCAGGCAAAGGGGCATGCTGAAGCACACACACTTTCCCCCAGCCCTGTTCTTTCGGCTCCAATCTGCTCTCCTCCCGCTTCTCTTCCTTTCCTCTCACCCCAGCCTGCCAGCAGGAGGTGAGTGGGTGGGCTTTATTGCATTCCAGGCATTTCCCACCCGGACAGCACCATACTGCATTTGTAATGGGGGAAGTGTTTGGGGAAGGCAGCGGGGGAGTGGGGGGGATGGCAGAGGAGCTGCTTTCAAGCCATTGGGAGAGATATCCAATCCAACTTCTGTCTTTCTGCGCTGCATTTGCGAGAGAGGGAGAGGGAAGGGGGTAGGAGTGATATAGCCAATCCAATTTATGTGTGTGTGTGCTCATTTGCGAGAGAGATGGGGGGGGAAGGGTAGGAGAAATATATCCTATCCAACTTCTGTGTGTGTGTGCTGCGTTTGAGAGGGGGGGAGAATTATACCCAATCCAACTTCTCTGTGTGTGCGCTGCGTGAGAAAGAAAGGGAGAGAGGGAAGGGGGTAGGAGTTATATTCTCAATCCAACTTCTGTGTATGCGCGCTGCGTTTGAGAGAGACAGAGAGGGTAGAGGGTAGGAGAAATATACCCAATCCAACTTGTGTGTGTGTGTTTGGAGGAGTGAGAGAAGGGGGGAGGGACGGAGAGGGAAGAGGGAGGGGAAGGGAGAAAGAAAAAGGAAACTTCTTTCACAAAGGAGAAAAACAAACGCTGTCACTTTAAATTGGATCTGAGCATGCCTTGCTGTGGAATTCTGGGAGTTGAAGTCCACAAGTCTCAATGCCTTTAAATTGACGCTTTAAATTGAAAAGGTGCAGGGAACAATAAATTGTATGTATGGTTATATGTTAATTGGTGTTATGTTTTTGAAGTATTGGGGTTTGTGCAATATGGGCTTTGTGTTTCTAAAAGGGCTTGGATGATTCCCTGCTTGTGAATGGAGCCAAACTTTCTCTAGGGTCATTATCTCTTATCTGGTAGGTATGTGGAATGAGCCTCAGTCAGGTGTCTTTGTTAGCAGAAAGAAAGAAAAACACAGCAATGTAGGGCTGGAAGGCTACTCGGAGATCATCTAGTCCAACCCCCTGCTGCAGCAGGAAACCTTACATTGTCTGGATTATTTGGTNCATACATACATACATTAATTTGGGCAAGTTCGTTTGGCAAGCCACTGAAATTTTGAAAAGAAAAAACATTGTTCATTAATGAAGAAGAAATCTTGCAACGTTTTAGTTGCAAAGTTTTAACTGGAAAAATGACACGTCAGGGCCATTTCCTGAAAACATTCAAAAGTCTCAGAGTTTTAAAATGAGTCAAAAGGGTGGTTGGGTTTTTGTTTTTTTTAGTTTCCTCTTTTGGTGACAAATGATATGCCACCAAAAAACAAAACAAAATTAATGTGAGAAATGGTTACTTTCTGAGTTGCCACATGACTAATTTACTAGCATGTTAGGAAGACAATGTTCTTAAATTGTTGTGTTCCTAGAAATATCTATATATCTAAAAATGGCGATGTGTGTTTGTGTGTATGTTCCAGCATAACTCTGGAACGCCTTGAGTAATTTCAACTAAACTTGGAAAAACAGACGATTTACTCTCTGGAAACAAATACTGTGGGAGTAAGACACCCCTAACACTCCTCGGGGTGTGTGTGTGTGTGTGTTCTGTTAAGATGCAGCCTGTTGTGCCTTAAAATGGCTTCTACCGTACTGCTGTAAAATGCCATGGTAACGACTTCACAGTACTCCACAAAGGGGGGGGGATTCCTTTGGTTAGGGGGAAAATCCAACATTAGATATTTTGATTGGTCCGGGATTATTTTTGAGGACAAATGTTTGACTCAACGGCAGAAATTTGGGGCTAAGTGGCGGTCGTAAGAACACAACTTCGGAAGTTGTGGGAGCTTCATCCCTGGAGGCTTTCAAGAAGAGACTGGACTGCCCTCTGTCAGAAACGGTATGGGGCCTCCTGCTTGAGTGGGGAGGGGAGGTTGGACTAGATGACCTCTGAGGTCCCTTCCAACTCTGTTTATGTGCAAATCTGTAAAACCAGCTGTAAGTTCAGTCACAAGATAACCCCCGTTTTGAAGATTCATCCATCAGACACAAGATTATACCACGGCTTTCTCTTAACGCTTTATTAATTCGGAAAAATATTTTTTGTACACAGTAAAATGTCTGCTCAGATTAGGTAGATTTTAGAGTCAGGTAAAGTGCAAACAGTATATAAAGTGACATACAGGAAGGGGAAGGAAGCAACAGATAATTTGCAAAAAGGTGGCGGGCAAAGACATTTCCCCCACCGTATCTCAGCTAGGAAAAGCAGAATTCGGCAAGACGGTCGGTCGGATTACGGAAAGACGTTCCTCGTTGCCAAAATGTAAACAGACGGTCCCAAAATTCGCTTTTCTCTCTCTCTCTCTCTCTCTTTTTTGGCGTATTTTAGTGTTTCCCTCTGAACGCCACCGAGCAAGCAGCTCTTTCCCAATCCGTCACCGGAAGTCCCGGTTAGGAAGAAGGAGGAATCGCGGGGACGTTAACAGATCGACTTCCGAAGCCCGTCCAAATTGGGCCTCCGAACCAATATTCACATTGTTGGTTTCTTCTCAGGAGAAAGCGGGAAATACGAATCTTTACGTTCTCGGGACCTGGTATGTGCAGGTAAGGTGGCCCGGAAAACCACGCCGGGATAGGAAAACGAGGATCTTTACTACAGGGAGTAGTCGGAGGAACGTAGCCGGATGGCAAAAGTCTGTTCCATCTGGATGGATTGAGGGTCGAAAGGAAAAAAAAAAAAAAAAGAGGGGTTCGTTAAACTTTGGGGGAGACACCGAGTTAGCGATCGGAGTTATTGGATTTAACCTGGTTTGTTCTCGTCCGCGAGATTTTGATTTGTTGGTGGATCTCTACCCTGCCTTTGATCGAGAGAGGAACTGGCCCAAAGTCATTCATTTGGCTAAGATGGGACTAGAACTCACCATCTCCTGGTGATTGGCCCTCAGTCACCCAGCTGGCTCTCATGTCTAAAGTGGGACTAGAATTCCCCATCTCAGGGTGATTGGCCTTAAGTCACATGGCCGGCTTTCATGCGTTAGGAGGGACTAGAACTCACTGTCTCCTGGTGATTGGCCCTCAGTCACCCAGCTGGCTCTCATGCCTAAAGTGGGACTAGAACTCCCAGTCTCCTGGTGATTGGCCCTAAGTCACCCAACTGGCTCACATGTCTAAAGTGGGACTAGAATTCACCATCTCAGGGTAATTAGCCTTAAGTCACATGGCCGGGTTTCATGCGTTAGGAGGGACTAGAACTCACTGTCTCCTGGTGATTGGCCCTCAGTCACCCAGCTGTGCCTAAAGTGGTACTAGAACTCACCGTCTCCTGGTAATTGGCTTTAAGTCACCCAGCCGGCTTTCATGCCTTAGGTGGTACTAGAACTCACCATCTCCTGGTGATTGGCCCTCAGTCACCCAGCTGGCTCTCATGCCTAAAGTGGGACTAGAACTCCCAGTCTCCTGGTGATTGGCAGAATTCTCAGTCAATTAATAAAAGGGGTTCAACGCCAATATGCAATACAGGTAGTCCCCCTCCTTGTATTAGCAAAAATTCCAATTGTTATTCGGAAAGTTAAAAGACGAGCTCCACTTTTTCTTTTACAAAATCGAAACAAAAACAAATATTTTCCCCCCTTCACTCACCTGAATGACGATGGGCTGGGAGTCCACATGTCCATTTTTCCCCGCTTCATTTCCCACGTAGAGAATGACCCGGGGATCCGGGAATGGCGCCAGGCCCTGGCGGTGCTGCTCCAGAGCTGTGAATCCAAAACAGAAGGATCAGCCATAGCGATTCAATGAACGACGTCCCTCTTCCCTAACCTGATACGGGTAGTCCTCGACGTACAACCCGCCATGAAAGGGCCTGGATTTCCACGACGGTGATCATTAGATCATTAAGTCACCCTGGGACCGCACCCAATTTTATTTTTGAAAATGCATTTGCTAGCCGATTACCGCGTATTTATTTATAGCGCGGGGGGGGGTGGTGGAAATGTCCGCACCAAACGTAATTTCTAATGTTGGATTGTCCCCCTTACCAGAGGGAGCCCCCTGGTGGAGTACTGTGGGGCCGTTACCATGGCAACTCCACTGGGCTGCACAGTGGAAGCCATTTTACGGCAGTACAGTAGAAGCCGTTTTTTTCCCCATTTCATTTTTTATTTCCCATTTTCATAACAAATAATCACATGTATACTATTACATAGACAATATCATGTTGTAAGAGACGTGACCCGTCAAAACCGCGGAGGACAAAATCGCGCTCGACGAAAGCG